TCCCCCTTTGGGCTGATCTTCTGCCCGTAACCTCCTCTGAATCAATCTGGCCTAGTCACATAGTCAACATCTGTGCTGGGGACTGTCAAGGAGACTGACACAGAAGGAAATGGAGCCCTAGTTTTGATGTTTCTTGGACAGGATGGCTATAACCCAGTCTCAGGAAAGGATTTGACATACTTCGCAAAGGGCAAGCAAATTGAAACTTGCCTGTATTAGAGATGGAATACACATAGACCACAAGGAGCTAAAAATAAAGAAGCAGCCAGAGGTGAGTGAGTTCAATCAAGTGAGTGGCTTCTGTCATCTACAGACAGGCACAAATGAGACTAAGTGGACATCCTATGCAGGAGAAATGGCTTCCACAGAGCTCTGCATCTTGTAAGAGCTTCATGAAGCAGTCAAACAAGTTGATTAGGTTAGAGTAGGTGTCTGATGTTCAGGTAGTATGAAGAGAGGTGGCTTCGTGAGATGAGTAAGGCAGCTGGCTGGCCTTGTCCAAACTGATTATTAATTTGGACTTCAGCTGCATCAACACTGAAATGAAGGTGCTGGGTTAGGTGATGAGGAAGAAGACTCAGGCTGTGCCAGAGAAGCAGAGGACTTGAAGGGTCATGGGAGCAGTACACTGGGGAGTCACTCGGTGAGACAGGTTTACTCCATTTGGGAGGTGAAAGAGCTTGTCTAATGTTTTACAGACTTGTGTCACAAAGCAGAGCACAGAATAGGTTTAATCGTTTAGTATGTATGGAGACTCCTATGAGTACAGCGCTGCCCCAGGTCCTAGGGAATATAGCAGTGAACAAGACAGGTCCCACTCTCATTCTAGCAGGGGAATGGGGAGTCAGACAATAAAGAAGTAAAGATCCAGGCTTGGTGAGGATGGTTCAGCGGGTAGAGGTGCTTGTGCACAGGCCTGATGACCTGAGTTCCACCCCCAGATCCCACAAGGTGGCAGGAGAGAACCAACTCCTGGAGGCCTACACACACACACACACACACACACACACACACACACACACTCACACACACTCACACACACAAATGATGATGATGATGATGATGATAAAATAAAGATCCAAACAAAGTAGTTTTAGAAGCCAGGCATGGTAGTACATGCCTGTAAGTGCCAGCACTTAGAAAATGAGGCAGGGGGATTGCCTCTGGAACCTGGGCTCCATAGTAAGACCTTGTCTCAAAAAAAGAAGTTTTTGAGTTGGTGAAATGGCTTAGCAGGTAAAGGCATTTCCTGCCAAGCTTGATAAATCGAGTTTGATCTGCAGGGTCAAAACTTACATAATGGAAGAAGTAACTCCCAGAAATTGTCCTCAGACCTCCACGTGCATGAAATGGTATGTATGCATGCACACACACACACACACACACACGCACACACACAAATAAATAAATAAATAAAAAGTAAATAAGTGTAACGAAATCAGTTTTCAACAGAGAAAAATGCTAGGATCTAGATGAAGTACACGCCATTACAGTTATGCTTTGGCACTTCTTAAACTGGGTGGATGGAGACAATTCTCCGAGAAGCCACCTTGGGCTGAGACTTCAAGGGTATTAAAAACCAAAGTGAAATGCTTAGAAGTGTCAGCACAGTTAGGTCCCCAGTCTCTCTTTGTAAGAGGGGTTATCTTTTAGTTCCTGAGGATAGTTATATCACAGATGTTGTGAAAAGCAAGCAGATGGCAGCTGGGGAGTCCTAGCATGGAAATCAGGCTGCTGTAGTCACCTAAGAATCCCTTACCAGAGCTGGGAGATGTTCTATTAGTTTTCCTCCTTCCCCTGTTGGGAATGTGGAAAACTTCAGAAGGAAGTGATGCCAGTAATCCCGGAGGGCTCGACAGTGGCAACAGTAATAATAACAGCAACTGATATCACTAGAACTGTTACATAATATTTAAGAAAACTAAGCTCTTTGGAAGCATTATTTATTTATTTATTTTTAATTTTATTTATTATTTTTTTATGTGTATGTGTGCATTGCCTGCACGTAGGTAAGTGCACCCATGTTGTGCAATGCCTGTGGAGGTCAGAAGAGGCTGTTGGATCCCCTGGGGCTGGAGTTATGGACAGTTGTTAGCTGCCAAGTGGATGCTGGGATTCGAACCCGGGTCTTCTGCAAGAACAACCAGTGTTCTTAACCACTGAGCCATCTCTCCAGCTCCTGCATTAGTTACTTAAACTTCAGAACATTGAAGTTGAGGTATTATCTTCTTCCTCCTCCCTGTTTTAACAATGGAGAAATCAAGGCTTAGGGAGATACTGTAATGTACCGAAGACTATGAGGTTAATATCTGGCAGAGGATGCTTATAAGGTCCTGTGATCCTATACTCTCTTCTTTTTTTCTTTTCTCCTTTCTTTCTTTCTTTCTTTCTTTCTTTCTTTCTTTCTTTCTTTCTTTCTTTCTTTCTTTCTTTCTTTTCGTCTTTTTGAGACAAGGTCTCTCAGCAGCCCCAGTTGTCCTGGAACTCACTATGTAGACCAGGCTGGCCTTGAACTCATAGAGATCCACCTGCCTGTGCCTCCCAAGTGCAGGGAATAAAGGTGTGTGCCACCACACCTGGCCTTATTTTTTTTTTTAAGTTAGCATACAAAGTAATAGCTTTCATCATGACATTTTCATGTATACATGTTACTATACTGATTCTATGTCCTTACCCTCATGTTACACTGCCTTCTGTAGGTCTCAGTCAAATAGCCATATATATTTGATCTACAAGTGACTTTAGAGGTTATTAAGGCCAGAGATTTCTAATGCTGTCCTCTGACAGAAGAACTCTGACCTAGAATGATCCCTGTTCAGATGACAGATGGGGGAATTCAGAGTCTCAGCATCAGATCAGTAATGGAAGCAGTATGGATTCTGAGTTCTCCCAACTTCCACTCAAGTGATTTCTGTGTTCTCCGTCAGCATATTCCTCTACCCTGACTTCCTCATTAGAACACCCTGGCAAAAGTGATTGGATGGAATTATATCTTCCCAAGCAGGGATATATAAGTGCTAAACAGGAGAATGCACATACAACTCTCTGTGCAGTGCTTAGCCCACAGCAAGTGTACAACACACACCAGTGTTTTGAATAAATCCACAGTCAGTTTCCATGTTTCTAGGTGAACTCTTGGGGCTGCGCCTGTGGAATGGAGATTTGAAGTACTTGGGTGGGTTGGTGGGGGTGCTTCCTCTCCCTGGGCTTGCCATGTTGATTGACAGGCTGCAGGCCTTGTCCAAACCCATCACAGTGAAAGCCAAATGAGGTTGGAAACCTTGTAACCCACCATCAAAACTGCTGGGTATAGGAAAACAATTGCTTGCTTCAAATAAGTGACTTTTCATTGCTGAGTTGCTCTTTAATTATAGGCTTTCCTGGAACACTCAGACACACAGGCCTTTGTAAACTGTAACTCCCTCTTACACACCATCCTCCCATATGCCTACTCTCCCTTTCATTTACAGAGTATAAACACCCATCTCTTACTCATTCACATAATGAATTTCAGCTCCTTTGTCTCAGTTAAGGAGGAAATTCAATGGAATTATGGGCATCTGTCCGTCTTCTTGTTCCACGGCCGCAGGGGTTTCATCTAAGAGAGGGTCCTTTATGGGAGAAGATAATAGGCAAAAAGTACTCTTCATTAATGGACCAGTCCCAGCTTTCTCTTTCCTTTGACAATGGAGCCTGTTTACTTGAACAGCCACTTCTCCAAGACAACTCCCAAATTGTTTCTCACCCCTTTATACTTAAAACCATCACACGCTCCCCTCTGGGGCTCGCCTCTTCCTTTCGGTTCTTGAAAGATTTTTCTAGGTATGAGAGACTAGGTAGGAAAGCCTCCTTCCTCAAGTTGGTTTCTTCTTGTCAGAGAAAAAAGCAGATTCTGCAAAGAGATGAGAACTTTGAGGTCTGGAGCCACGCACAGACCCCCAAGCTTCCCTTCAAGCTGAATGGGAACTTATGGTAGGATTGTATCTTCTCCAGCTAATCCATTTGTGGTCTTCTACTCCAGTGTCCTGCCTCACACTTGAGCAAGCATCAAAATGACCTGATTTTCCCGCTGTTCACCAATGTCTTGGCCTTTCCTTGCAAAAGACAAACTCTTTTTCAATGGCTCAAGACCAGACACTATAATCAGATAATTAGGAAGTGATGGAGTTTTGAGAGTATATCATCTTTGTTGTAAATTATAATGTATTTAATTGTAACTTTCTTAATTAGAATTTTTTTTTTTCCTTTTTGAGACAGGGTCTCATTATGTAGACCAGGCTGGCCTCGAACTCCCAGAGATCCATCTGCCTCTGCCACCTCAGTGCTCAAATTAAAAGTACATGCCACCACTACTGGCTATATAATTTAATTTTAAGTAATGGCTGGATTTAACAGCTGCCTGGCAGAATTTCTGAAAAATTGACAGACTGCACCAGCTGTCCAGCACAGCACTGACCCAGGGCAGCCAGTGGGACTGGGAAGCTCTGGGTTTCTTGGAGGTTGTTCTTCTAACACTAGGACATTTAGAGGGGGAACTCCTTGGATTGGGTCTTTTAAGAACTCGGTGGTGGTGGTTAGGAACAGGGGAGCTGTTGTGGTACTGGAGGGATGAGATGGGCCTGACTCCTGACCCCAGCTGCCTTGACTGGAAGGCTGAGACTCCAGATGCCCACCCAGATAAGAGTAACTGATGTGTCCTGGCACTGAGGTATAACCTAGGGCAAAAGTAGAACAGAGACTCCAGCATTGGTTTCTCTGGCCAGCCCACGCCTCCTGCCTCAGCTCGACGCCACTCCCTCCCCGCCAAGTGGCTCTTGCTCTGGAGGCGGGACCGAGTTCTCCGGTGGCCCCTGGAGGCTGGGGCTGCGAGCTCTGGGAGGCTGGGAGGGGAGTGAGGGGAGGGGCGCTGACTGGGCAGTCCAAAGAGGAGGGGGCCTTTAATAGGCTCGCTCAGAGCTAGGTTTGCAGCACCACCAGTGGTTGCGGTTGGAGAAGCCCGCCACCTCTCACCACTTCTCCGGGCAAATTTTTGTCGGTTGCACTTGACAGCGACCATACTTAAGGCTCCCCCAGCGCGCTTTGCTTGGGAAGGAACAGGTAGGAGGCGCGGGTTGCCTTGTGCACGCTCGCTGCTCTGGGAGGAGTCTCCCTGATTTGGTTGGCTGTCCTTTCTGGGAGCTGCCCGCTGTCCGGATCATTGGTGTTCCGGTGTGTGGGCTGTAAGGGGACAGTGCCTGCGGCAGGAGCTGGGCCGAGTTCCTTCCCGGAGCGCGGCGCCATGCTTCTGCTTGGCATCTTAACCCTGGCTGTCGCCTGGCGACCTGCTGGCAGCTCCGAGCCAGAGCGAGAGGTGGTCGTTCCCATCCGACTGGACCAGGACCTCAACGGCCGCCACTACTACCGGAGGGGTCCGGAGGACTCCGGGGATCAGGGTCTCATTTTTCAGATCACAGCTTTTCAGGAGGACTTTTACCTACACCTGACTCCGGATGCCCAGTTCCTGGCTCCTGCCTTCGCCACTGAGTATCTAGGTGTCCCTCTCCAGAGGCTCAGCGGCAGCTCTCTAGACTTGCGACGCTGCTTCTACTCCGGGTACGTGAACGCCGAGCCCGACTCCTTTGCTGCAGTGAGCCTGTGCGGGGGTCTCCGCGGAGCCTTCGGCTACAGAGGCGCGGAGTATGTTATTAGCCCGCTGCCCAACGCCAGCGCGCCGGTGGCGCAGCGCCACAGCCAGGGCGCACACCTTCTCCAGCGTCGCGGTGTCCCCGGAGGGCCTCCCGGAGACCCCACCTCCCGCTGCGGGGTGGCCTCAGGCTGGAATCCCGCCATTCTGAGGGCCCTGGACCCTTACAAGCCACCGCGGACAGGCTTGGGGGAGAGTCACAGCCGGCTCAGGTCCGGGCGCGCCAAGCGCTTCGTGTCTATCCCACGGTACGTGGAGACGCTGGTGGTGGCGGACGAGTCAATGGTCAAGTTTCACGGCTCGGACTTGGAGCACTATCTGTTGACGCTGCTGGCCACGGCGGCTCGACTCTATCGCCATCCCAGCATCCTCAATCCCATTAACATCGTTGTGGTCAAGGTGTTGCTGCTAGGAGACCGTGACACAGGACCCAAAGTCACAAGCAACGCAGCTCTGACTCTGCGTAACTTCTGCGCCTGGCAGAAGAAGTTGAACAAAGTGAGCGACAAGCACCCCGAGTACTGGGACACTGCCATTCTTTTCACCCGACAGGTGAGTTGATCTGTCACCTCTTTGGACCCCATTCTCTTAGAGTCACTGCCTTTAGCTCTCCAAAGCCCCTTTGTGCCACTCAATGACCACAAGAGTAAATTGTTCATTTCTCCCAACTCCGGCGTTGGAAGTTCTAGTTAGAGCCCTCTCCTAGGCTCAGTGGAGCTCCACTTCACATGCATCTGGGCAGTTGGAGGATAGCCTGCTCCTTCTGTAGGTGTTGGCCAGATAGGCCAATCAGCGCCTTCTGGAACAGGCGCCGAGGGGCTGGAACCCAGGAAGTCACCGCCCCAGAGCCGCAGTTTGTCTCCAAAGCCCATAGGAGGCGCTATGAGGATGGTGTTGTAGATGGTGGGAACCTCGGATCCTTCTATATGGGAAGCTGTGTTCTCCCTGACATGTAGCAGGCTTACTTTCTTTGGCTGCAGAACTGGAAGGTGATCCAAGGTCAGTGCCTGCAGCATTTCTAGCGGGCAAGGTGTTATCCTTTCTCTGACTTTGGTCTGGGAAACCTGGATTCAGACAGAGGTAGTCACTGGAGTTGTTGGTGGGTTTCAGTGAAAGGCCAGACTTAAGTATATAACAGGTGGTCACTCCTCCATTGCTGCTTCTTCCATGCCTTTCTCTGCTGGGCCTAGTCCAGGGACTTCTAGACTATTCCTAACTGGCAGTCTAGTAAGGCACCTGCTTGGAGCTGGGACTATTTCACTTGGAATTGAGCTGGGAAAAATATCTTCCAGTTTTCCCAGATCCTTGTTAGTGGAGGCTGACCCATTTGCTCAGTTGTGTTCTAATACTGTTCATGTTCCATTCCTAAGACCCTCCCTTGAGGGCAGAGCTCCACTTCTGCCCTTGCTGTTGTCCAAGCAATGTGAGCTTAGTGAAGAGCATTTGAAGATTCCAGCTGTAGGATTGGAAAGACACTGAGTGTTGGGATTAGAGAGATGGACTCAAACCAGGAAAGCAGCCCCGCCTTTCTCATGTCTTTACTTGATAATATTCTATCTCAAGAAGCTACGAATCTGTGAACATTTAGATCCATAAGTATTGATGTAGCTGGGCACTGTGAAGCTTCTAAATTCTTGAAATGTCTCAGATACAGGAGCCGGGGAGGAAAGAAGCCATCCAAGTGACCTGCTTCCTCTGATTTTGAGGGCTGAGACTCGAATCCCTGCCATGTTCTTGTTTTGTCATTATCACAACCACAGCATTCTGATGATGGCAAGGAGTCAGAGTTCTTGGTTACCTCTGGGGTTCTCACTCTCCACTGTTTCTAAATGGCCACTTAGAGCTGGTCTGGCGCCTACAGGCTGGAGCTGGAGTCATCCACAGTAACCCATTTGGCACAGCCAGTCTCTTCCTGCAGTTGAACTTCCTCCTTTCCCAGCCTGGTCTCCTCCCACCACCTGGTTTCTCTAGGGAGGTCTTTGGCTTGAGTCTTATTTCCTTGTGCTCATTCTTCCAACTGAGGTCTGTTGAGCTGCAGCAGCCCAGCCCGACAAGCCCTGCTTGAGTCATGGGGAAATTGCAGAAGAGGCTTCAGCTTCTGCACCCAGATCAGCTCTGCAGGCAGATTTCTGGAGGAAAAAGCAAAGGCTAAGAACAATATAGCTTTAAAAAAAAAATTTATTTATTTAGTATGAGTGTATTGCCTGCATGCACTTATATGCACCCATGTTGTGCAATGCCCTTGGAGGTCAGAAGAGGACGTTGTCTTCTAGAACTGGAGTTATGGAGCATTGTTAGCTGCCATGTGGGTGCTGAGAATTGAACCCAGGTTCTCTGCAAGAGCAGTCAGTGTTCTTAACCACTGAGCCACCTCTCCAGTCCCAGAACAAGATATCTTACTGGGCAAAGCAGCTGCTGTCCCATCTGCTACCTAGGATGCCCCTGTGGAGCTTACTCCCTGGCTCTAGTAACAGACCTTAGTCTCCTCTGTCTAGTTGTTAAGTCTGACTTTTGGAACAAGTTCGGAGAAGAAGATCCCTGTTGGGAATGTGGGCCATGACATCAGAAGGAGACCATCTTTCTGAAGAAAAAGCAATCAAACAGCATGACAGCTTCTGTTTTTCAGTGGTGTGCTAGACCCCCCAGGGGGCCATGTTGTCTGTGCATAATGGGTACAAGCTGCACGACTACTTGGGTCAGAAGTGTGATATGCAAGATGTGACTGTTGGAAGTTGTTTTTCTCTTAGGCATTTAGAGGACAAAGCCAGAAAGCAGGGAGGCTGCATTGGCAGACCCATCATCAAGGAACGTGTGTCATGCTTGGGTAAACAGCTCCTCCCCCACCTCCTCTCCAGTACAGATTTCAGGGCCTGCTGCATTCTCAGAGTCTTAGGATTTCATTCCTGAGATCCCCCAGGGAAGGTACAGTATTGGATAGGAACACGGGCAAACAGCTGCTCTTTCTAGACCAAGACAAATGTGGTCCCCAGGAACCTTAGCTGTCGGGAAGAGAGAATACATTGATCATACAACAAGTGTTTTGACAATTGGAAGAGTTTCTGTAAAGATTCAGAATAAGTTCACGGAGAAAGAGAGCACATCTGATTTTGCAAAGCAGTTAGCCTCCAGGCTCATAGCAGCAGGGTGAGGTCAGCCCAGGAATGGAACGAGGATCTGCTGAGGATCAGAGCCAGAGTCGTTCTCATTTATTTCTACGAGGAGCATAGTTTCTCTGGCTTCTCATTCACCAGGCTGCAGATGCCAGGTATTTACTGCTGCGACTCAGACCTTCATTTGCTGAGTCCCGCCTGTTTTTAGGTATAGTGACTCTGCTATTTCAGTAACCCTTTGTAGTAAAATGGCTTTTGTCCATTTACTCATACACTCTCTTGGTACTCTTGAGCATCTATTACTTGTAGGTACCATGCTAGACTGGAATTTGACATACTAATATGTTGTGACCCGGGTTCCCGCCCTCGTCGGGACGATCAGTGTGGCAAAGAGCAGTCAATCCTAACATGATGTGCTAACTGCCAGGATAGAGGCATGGAGCCTTCTCTGTGGGAAGCTTCCAGGGGGCATTCTTGTCCCAGGGGCTAAGGATGACCTTCAAGAGATTGGGTGCAGAAAGGGATCCCAACCCTGGGAGGCTAATATGGGAGAAGAAAATTTGTTTCTGTGTTATATAGATGATCTTCACTCTTTCCCTCATCTGTTTTGCTCTTTGTGACATTTCTACTCTTGAGATGGCTTCATTTTCATTTTTATGACTTGTAGTTTATGATTTCTGCTGGCTTATTCTTTCATGTATTTAAGTTTTCCTTTGCTTGGTGTCACTTCATGCCATTCCTTCCCTTCTTTCATCTTTTCCTTCTTTTTGGGAGGTAAACTCTTCTGTCTTATTTTCTTCATTCATGCGCTTAACTTTCCCCTCTCACAACCCCAGGCTTGGCACCAATCTTTTGTTGGCTTTGAGCAGTACCACATTTTGGGGGAAGAGGCTCTTTTCAAAAAAAATATTTATTTTTTTAAATTATGTGTATGTGTGTGGGTATGTGCACGTGAGTGTAGGTGCCCATGGAGGTCAGAGGTGTAGCCTTTCCCTGGAGCTAGAGTTACGGGTGGTTGTGAGCTGTCTGTCATCAGTGCTAAGTATTGAGCTCAGGTCTTCTGTAAGAGTAGCAAGCATTCTTTTTTTTAAAAAAAATTTATTATTTTTATTTTATGTATATGAGTGTATTGCCTGCATGTGTTTATGTGCACCTGTGTTGTGCAATGCCTGTAGAGGTCAGAAGAGGGCATCAGATCTCTGGGAACTGGAGTTGCAGATGGTTGATAGCCATCACCTGGGTCCTGGGAACTGAACCCAGATCCTCGAAAGAGCAGCAAGTACTCTTAACTGCTGAGCCATCTCTTCAGTCTCAAGAGTAGCAAGTATTCTTAATTGCTGAGCCATCTCTCTAGCCCCTACAAGGGAGGATATTCTTTTTTTTTCCCCTTTTTTTGGTGTTTTTGAGACAGGGTCTCCCTGTAGCCCTAGCTGGCCTACAACTCACTATGGCTGACCTTGAACTCACAGAGATCTGCCTGCCTCTGCCTCCCAAGTGCTGGTATTGAAAGCATGCACCACTATGCCCAGCCTTGAGGGAGGATATTCTATATTGTACAGAGCAGAATCTCTTGGGAAATAGCCCAATGCTTTCTATAATAAAATACTTTAAGTAGAGTAGTACATTTAGTGTTCAGATTAATTATTAATGCTATTTTACTATGAATAGTAAAATGATGACCTGTGTTTTACATCAATCTCTCAACATGATAAAGGGAATTTCAACTTCACCAAGATCTGTTCTGAAGTCAGGCCTTGGAAGAGATCAGGAGAGATGGACCACAGGAAGATTTGGTATTGTCATTCCTGGTTATAACATGGAGGTGTACCACCACTCTTGAAATGGGAAAAGGAAGGTAACAAAAGAGGGGAAGCAGTAGAGTATAGGTGTTCTTTGTCGCGAAGCGTGAGTATGTGCCTTGTGTTTTCCCTATCTCAAGTAAGTAGGTTTTAATGGCAGAAGATGGGGCAGTGGTGGTGGGGGAGAGAATCCTCCCTTCTGCACGGGATCTTCTATGTGACAGACTGGTTCAAGTGTCTGGGCTCATGGGATCCTACTGCCTCATCCTCCAAGCAGCTGAGAGTACAGGTACCCAACGGGATGCCTAGTCCTCCCACCTCCTGCCACCTTTTATTTGGGGACATATTCTTACTATATAGCTCAGTATGGCTCAAACTCTGAATCCTCCTGTCTCAGCTTCCAGAGAGCTGGCTTCCTTTCTTTATAACAACTGGCTTAGTTATCAAGGCCAGTGGTGTTTTCTCCTTTCTTACGTGTTGCTCTTTACCTTTCTTTGAACTTCCCTGTATTTCTTTCCCTCCCCTCCTCAGCACTCCTCCCACTGTGTCTTGATTCCTTGACTTGGACACAGGGTACAATGGAAAGAACCCAGGCTTCTTGGAGTCCAGCGGAGCTGAGTTCAAATCCTAGCATTTGACTTTC